TATACATCAAAAGTAATGCAGTGGCACTGACAGCCCTGAGCGTGCTTGGCAAACATCCAGTGTATTCCTCATTGTGTGCCTGCTTACTCTCATGTAATCCCTTCCTCTCCAATCTCTTCCTCCTGTGAGGTAGGGGGGAGAAAAAATGGATCAGGCACAGGAGAGACTGCCTAAAGCAGTGTTGTCCAAACTTGGCCATTTTAAGATGAGTGGACTTCAACTCCCAGAATTCCCCAGCCAGCATGGGCCTAAAGAGATAGCTTGTTTTTTTTTCCCGCCCCCCTCGCAGAGCAGAGAAATTGCTTAAATAAGCAAGGGGGGGAGGAAAAAAACAAAAACAAAACAAGCAATCTCCGTAGGCAATCTCTCCTGTTCCTGACCCTTTTGTTCTCCCCCCCCTTGCAGAGTGGAGAGATTGGAGAGGAAAGGATTACCAGAGAGTAAGCAGGCACACAATGGGGAATACACCAGCTGTTTGCCTAGCACGCTTGCAGTTGCCAGCACTACCACATTCCTTTTGATGTGTATTCCCCATTGTGTGCCTGCTTACTCTCTTGCAATCCCTTCCTCTCCAATCTCTCTGCTCTGCAAGGGGGGAAAAATAGAAAAACAACAGGTCAGTCACAGGATAACGCGTACTGACTGTAATGGAGATCACGTGACTGAGGGATGCTGTGAAGGTTGTAAATGAGGGCATTGGTTGTAAAGTTATTTTTTCAGCACTGTTGTAACTTCGAATGGTCACTGAATGAGCCAGTTGATAAGTGAGCTCTATCTGTATATAAAAATATAGATTTATATATCTTACATACATATTGATTTAACCAATAGTAAGTTTATTTATTTCAGTTTTGTTTAAAGTATTCACCATCCTTTACTTGTATTATATGTGATATGTTCACCTTTCAGTCTTTGACCAGAAATAATTATAGGAAGCCTTTCTTCAGGATCTGTATAGATCACTGTAGAACAATTGCCACCTTGTCCCACTTTGTTTGCAAATTGCAGCAGTATTTTATGCAAGAAGGAGATGTATTTCTCTGTTCAGCAACTTGATTACATGAACTTATTGCTCAAATACACTGGTAGGGATTGATAGAGGAAAGAGTAGGAAGAACAGGTCCACCAAATAATAAGATTGGAAAGTTTGCAAATTAATTATATGGAAAAGTACACCTGATGAGCTTCAGAATAATGAACAATCTAGTCCCTTCAGTGGGAAATGCTTCTGATGGCCAAAGGTTGCACTTTACAATTTGGAGGGGCTAAGGTCTTGAATTGGTAATATCATTATCACGCTGTGGATAGGTTGGGATTCAGGAGGGAGATTTTTATTTATTCTGTTAAACTTAGAAAAGCCTGTTTTATGGCTTACACTTCAGTTTTCAAGTCTCCCAAATAAAAAAGTCAGTTTTCAGAAACTGTTCTTGACAAATCCATGCTAATACCTGTTATTATTAGATTATTTTCAAGGTATTTTATAATCTAGTCTTGAATCTTCCCAGGTATCAATGTCAGACAGGCTGGTTTCTATTTCCCCAGATCCTTCCTCTTCATGTTTTAAAGATAGGGAAAACATTTTCTCTCCTCCAATCATTTGGCACCTCATTAGCTTTCCAGGATTTCTCATAGACAAATTTCAGCCAGACCATCAACACATTCCTTCAGTATCTAGAATGCAATTTATTTAGCCTGGGAGATTTAAACTCATTCAAAATAAAGAGGTATTCTCTGCCTGCTTTTCTATCAGTCTCAAGCTTCAATCTTTTCTCTTCATCACACTCTTCAAAACTGTTCGGTGGAACATTCATTTTTTTGTTGGAGAAGACTGAACTTAAATAGGAGCTGGTAACTCTGCGTTGTCTTTGTTATCTGTAGTATTTTCCATCTCCAATGAACAGCTGATACATTCTTTCCGTTTTCTTTTGAATATCTAATGAAACACTCTTCAGAGATCTGGCCCACATTGGCTTCTTCTGCTTTCCTCCATTCCTCTGCTCCTGCAAATGGTTTGCAATTGTGCCTCTCGTCTTCTTAAGCTCTTAATTTTCCATTTAAATTCCATGCAATCATACTCATCACTCTTCTGAATTTATTAACAACCATCTTCTGAAGTTCAAGATATGCATTTGACTACACACAGCTTTAGTTTCCCTTAACATCAAAAACTCTAGCATTACATGGTCACTTCTCTTCAATGTTCTGCTCCTTATGCTTTTTCATCTAGGTCTTCCATATTGGTTAGTATCTAGTCAAAAATAATTGATCCCATTAGGCCTTCCTTTGCCTCCTTTTAAAAGAGAAAGTTGCCAGCAAGACAAGTCGGGAATTTCCTGGAATTACCATACTTGACAAAATGGCTGTGGGTTTTTCAGCCTCCTGATCTTGGGATTTTTCCATCTCTAATCTTGGATGGGGTAGCACTTCCCCATTTGAGAGTGGTGCACAATCTGGTGCTCTTCCTGGACTCAGAGCTCCTGTTCAAAGAGCAAGTGGTAGCTATAGCCAAGAGGGCCTTTGCACAGATCCATCTAGTGTGCCTCTTCTGCCTGTTCCTGGGTCAGAAGGCCCTTCAGATGGTCACTCATGCCCTAGTCACTTCAAGAATGCAGTACTGCAATGCATTCTGTGTGAGGTTGCCCTTGAAGATCACTCAGAAGGTACAACTGAGCCAGAATGCAGTGATGCAGGCAGTAATGGGCATGCCACAGTATGTCCATGACACACCACTGCTCCACAAGTTGCACTGGTTGTGAATTGACTTCTGGGTGCAATTGAAAGTGCTGGTTATTATCTAGAAAGCACTTTATGGCACAGTACCTGGCTATCTGAGGAATCATTTATATCCAATAGTGTCTGTCCAACATGTACAGGTAGAGTTGGCCTGCTCCAGGTCCGGTTAATTACACAATGTCACCTGATAGGATCCAGGAAGTGGGTCTTCCCTGTCACCATGCCTGCCTTCTGGAAGAGCATCCCCCAAGAGATTCATAGGGCTCCCACCTGATGATATTCAAAGTCACTGAAAACCTGGCTATTCTCCCATGCTTTGGGTTGGTGGCTAGCCCCTGTAGAATCTTTATTTGTTAGGAATTTGTCTTCTTCCAGATTTTCATGATCTATCACTTTATTATTAGCATTTTCCTGCTTTTAGAGTTGCAAGCTGCCCACAATTGTGAGGAGCTGGGAAGCCTCTAAATGATATAAATAAACAAAGCATCATGTGAAATGTTCTTTATAATTCCACTTCTTTCTATGGTAGGAATCACTTTATCTGAGAGCCTTACTTCAGAGTTTCTAATCTCCAACCCCCACAAGATTCAATTTAAAGGCCTCTAAATCAAACTTGCCATGCTTCAGCCAAGTACATTTTATCAATCCTTGGGAGGACTGAAATTTGCCTGTCACTGATTTATGCTATACCGATGGGTACCGTAAGTGGGATCACTTTTCACAAGCTCATGGGATGCAATTAATTGCTTAATGCATTCAAAGTACTCTTGCTTTCAAAGAACTTAATGTATGCTACCAATGGGTTATGGGCACTTCTCAGAGCAAAGTCTGGATAGTATTTAGTTTTAATAGGTATAAAATAGCTACTTATAAGTAAAGTAAAAGTAGTATTTAAGCCTTATTCCTAGACTGATTTCTATTTTTAGTATAACCATTGCAAAGCAGAGAACACAAGTCAATACTGCAGAAGCTCATCAAAAGTGAAAGCTATTGCTGACTTTCCTTCTTCTCTTCCATCACAATAATGAAAAGAGCATCAGGAACTACTATTCAGTTATTCTGACAGCTTCACAACAAAATGACAATCACTTTCAACCTTCCTCATTATTCCCATGATTAATGAAACCTAGTGAAAGAATGAAATGGGAACACAACAAACCAATTCCTAAAAACAGGAGGACAATTATATTCCCAGTCCTATCAAATTGTGCAGAATGGAACAGCTCTCAAATCTAGCTTCCTCACTATATGGTATAAGCTGTATAAGGAGAAGGCAACCCCAAAAGGCTGGATATTCCACATTACTGTATGTAGCAATAATGCTCCTATTATTGGTGAAGCTTGGTCTGAAAATATGAACCAGATCAGGTCCAGGCAACTTTTGCACCTTTATTTAACCTTTTGGGGAAGGTGGAAGAGCACAGAGGGCAAGGCCTTATGCAAAGTGGGTGAGGCCATGTCACTTACAGGTGAGACCAGGACTACTTATTTATTTATATTTCAGATTAGTCACCACCCATCTCATTCCAAGGTGACTCTGGGTGGTTTACAGTATCCATGTTTTGGAGAAAAGTCTTTTCTTTACAGGCTTTGTTTTACCTGTATTGTACCTATTTTACTTATTTATTTATAGAATTTAAATGGCTGCCCTTCTCAATGTTGTGATTGTAGTTCACAATCCAAAACATAAAAAGGAGAAATAATAAAACAACATTACAGTAATGATGGGGATATTTGGGGGACATTTGCCATCTCAGAATAGAATCAATCAATAAATAAAAAGGCAAGGACATGGCTCTATCATTTTCAGTAATTGCCAAAACTTTGTGACATAATTAGAAGCCATTCTTTTTTTCTTGATTCCAAATATCAAGAAAGTACTGTTAAATAACAAATGGACCACACAAAAGTGTGAAGGCTCTCTTTCTATATCAAATGTATCTATTGAAAAATATGGGCTAATAATTTAGTGACACAACTAGTTTTTTAGATGCAAAAGACTTCCTTATTCATAAAGAACTTTCTTGATACCATATGCTGAGGTAATTTTTGAAAGATATGATCCATAGTCTATTGCAAACTCTAGACCTGGGATGACAAATGTTTAGCTTCACCATCTTGCATTCTGAGAAATAAGCATATTGTGACATTCCATTTATGAACAGATAATGGCAGCCACATTGTAAGAGTGCTCGTAATAGTCCTTAGCAAGTCAGAAAGCACCTGTCCTAGGCATTCTAGAACATTCCCACTTCTCCAATTCTTACCTTCTGCCGCTGCTGTATGTTGCTCATGGTATCTGGCTGAAATTCAAGTTTGTCAGTGCGGCAAAGCTTCCAGTATAAAATTATGATTATCAGCAGCACCACAGCTACAGGGACTGCAACACCAACAATAATCCAAAGATTATTCTGTGATTCTGGAGGAGATTCTTTGACTTGATCCACAGCTATCAAAGGAATTGGAAAAAAGTTAGAATTTAGCCTATAACCACAGTAAATGTACCAAATTCTAGCAGGGTTTAACCACAGTGTTAAACCATAACTTATAAAATATATTTATCAGACAGATATGAACATTGGTACTTTATTCCCATGTAGTCACTCTGCCAACCTTTCCCAACTGGTGTTCTCCTGTGTTGGAGAACTCCCAGTGAAATAAATACATTGAGGTCAAAAGCAAGGTCAGCAGCTACCCAGAGTTTGTGGCTATTCACTGCGATCTGACCTCATCAATTCTCACATTCAGTAAACTGGTAACAATTATATAAGAAGATGAATGGGATGTATATGACTATCAAACGGGCAAAAGAATTGAGCTTCTCCCTTTAATATCTGAACTTCTGTAATGTAGCTTTTGCTCTTGAATCACAGGTACTGCATACCTTAAATACTCACTGCTGGGTGGGGTAGCAGAAGAGAGCTATCATCTTTCAGTTCATGCTTATGAGCTTCCCACTGCAACTGGAAAGATCACTGTGAACCACAGAATGTAGGACTAGATAGATTCTTGGCCAAGTCCAACAAAGCTTTTCTTATATTTGTGTGTTCTTATATTGTCTTATAGTCTCCTCAAACCTGGCTTTCCTGCAGATGTCTGAACTTCAAATCTTACAATTTTCAGCAAAGTCAGGTTGGAGAAGCCTACTGTAACAACACAAGAAAATGCCTGGCACTCAGCATTTTGTAGTTTGGGTTTGGTAGTATGCCATATTTATATAGGTGAGCAGTTTTCTGAAACCCATCCCCTCCAAATGAGTTGGGGTTACAAGTCCCAGAATTCCTAACCCTCAGCTGACTAAAATGTATTGGGATTCACAAACATCTGGAGGATTGTACAAGCAAGAAAAAAAATATGTTCAGTCAAGATATAATCATTTGGATGAAAAGTGTTGGAGGAGGGAATTTCTATTTGAAAATTTTATAACTATTGGTAGCCTCTACAACAGGGTTTAAATTTGACTACAGGTTGCAAACTGTACCTCAGAATGCCATCTCAATGATTTAATCTCTCATATGGCTAAAGAATTTGTTCAAAGTGAAATTCATCAATATCAAATAATCGAATTACATGAATTTGTTAAATAATCAAGCTTGCTATATAAATATTAACACACTATAAGACTGACAGCAACCTTTAGAACTATGAACAAGATAAATATTGCAATATCTTAATTATAAAAAGCTTAGAGGTTTGCTATTCTTCATAACTGCTCATACAAATGGAGGATTTATAAAAGCTACCAACCATACCAACCAATTCTTAATGATTTATACAACAACATATGTTGATAAATTGTAATCTTGAAGAAAATCTGTTACTATCTCTAAAGAAAAATGAAGCTAGCTATAAATACCCCATTTAATATGCACTGGTATAATATCTGCTGGCATTCAGTGCTAGAAGCAAAGCATTCTTTCTCCCCGTCCATATCCGGAAAACGTGAACTGCTACAGTGCTTTCCTAACTATCTACACGTAAGCCACAGAACAGAATTGCAGGAAAATGAGTCCTCGCCCATCATACGAATAACAGAAATATTCTGTTTCTGGGAGCCAATCAAAGTAGTTGGAATGGCTGCAGGCCAAAAGCAATCTTGAGGATCCTGGTAAAGTCTAAGCTACCTGAACTGGGTTTCCTCAATTTTTTCATGCAATTTTTTTGATCCAAAAAAAATCATATACAAAAAAGGCATACATTAGGGAAAGTATGCATATATCATGGGAAGAACATGTAAAAACATTTTTATGAGTTTTCATGCAGACTTACTGGGAAAGATAGAAGAAATCAATGCTCAAAAATGGTGAT